ATCATTCTTTCCGCTTACAGCACGAACGTATGGCAACTGGCCATTATTTTCGACCATCGAAGTGTCATGCTTTAGGTTCACCAATCTCTGGCACTCTGCGGTTACTTCTTGTAGTGTCATATTCGGACATTGTTCAATTTTACTCAAAATTCTAGTTCTAATATCGGCATCTTCGGGAGATTGGAGGCTGCACACAAATACGAGACACTTAAACTGGTCTTCTGTCATTGCTGATAGTTTGAAACGCTCACATTCACGGTTTACTAAACCCGCATGTTTCACCCAGTCATCATCACCTGCTTTTGTCATCTTGAGACATTGATAACGAATATTAAACAAGGATGACTGTTCAGCAAAGATTTGCGACAAAATTTCAATCGTTGCATCAAAAGAAAAATCTCTTGGATTCTTTGGAAGGATAAAGTTACTGTAACGTTCATGTTCAACAGTTCCAAGCTTTCGCAAGAGTATTCTGACCTTAGCGGCGTCATCAAGTTTTTTCAGGTCGACCTTGAACAAATCTTCATATTTCTTGAACCAAGTTTCAAAAGTAATGCCAGCTGAACCATCAAAATTAAATTCATGGATAGAATTAACAATCTGGTCAACATGAGATTTGAAGGGATCATCTGTAACTTCTTTTTGATCCAGGTTCATTTTCTGCGTTAGCATCTCTAACATGCGCATCTGGAACTTTTCTTGGCGTTCCAATAAGGCTTCAAATTGTTCCAAGGTAAGTGACATATTGATACAATAACCCGTCGCCAGATGTTATAACTTGAAAAAGCTGATTTTTCTTGATACAACCGCGTATAACTGAGCACTAGAACACCAAACCCTTCCAAGTCGCAACAAGAAGACAGAAGACTAACGAAAGGAATATTATTCCAAACAGTGTCAAACATAGTACAAAAATGGTCAGGTATTTATAGTTTTTAGTGAGAACGAAATCATCATTACAGTCTTCCAATCCGCGTACAGGGGGTTATTAGCATTATCCAATGGGGAAGCTACACGTTGGAATTCTAGAACATTCTTTCGAAAGGTGATTGGATGGAACGTCTTCGGCTCCTTATGAGCCTCTTACAGCTTCCTCGAGTTCACCGGTGGTCCGTCGTCACAGTAATGTATTTTCATTGCGCAACAAATTATAAAATGTTACTCTCATAGAGTTAACTGTAAAGTGAGGAATAGTTGTGGTTAAATTAATCACGATTCATAACGAGAAAACTACTTAAAATCACTCGAATGATTGTTTAACAAATAATAACAGACATTTTTAAAAACAACGTCGTAGTTATGTACCTACTAACAAATAATTAAAGTAGTTGAATATTATTATGTGAAAAAGAGAAGGAAGGACGTTCAATTCTATGAACAGAGTTCGAAGTACTTATTATGTAGTTGGTATTATATTCTCTTAGTTGTATGGTTTTTTTATGTGACTTTCGTTGGTTTTCTGAACAAAACCGCCAGCATGCGTTCGAATGAACTGTGAACTATTCGAATTTCAACACAACTAACTAACATCTTTTACCTGAGTTACAAACACCCTCTATCATGTCAACTTATTTAATAATGTAGAAATAACGATTAGAATCATATTTTACCTTTTTCACAAGATATATGACCATCGTCAAAAGTTGACACCAACTTATTTACTAGGAGATCAATTCAGTCAGTTTGAAATATTTATTTACAATAACGAAACAATAAAAATCCCTATAACTACCAACTGTTCCTCATTTTTTTCGAAATAACTTTGAATCGAAATTTCATTTAAATTTATAGCAGAATTGTGTGGAAGCTAATAGTGAAATTCAGGACGAGTTTTTCGTCCTGTTTAGTGCTCGTCAGTTAGATGTACGAATATCCGAGGGTTAGTTTTCACTACGGGAGCCGAATTCCGTCCCTTTCGCTCCAAATTTTCAATCCTCCAGCCTCTTAGCTACTCAGTTGAGTGAACCACTGATTTGTACAGTGTTGTGGATCATAATTCATTTATATTGGTTGTTCGAATCTACTCATTAATATTCATTCAAAACTACTGTTATTTTTTCGAACACTAATCGCAACACTATATGGGTTAGTAGTCCAATTCGAAATTCTGATAACTCATTTAATAGGTACAAGGACAATGTACTAAACTACGAATCACATTTGTCAGTATTCGGTAACTACTGACAATACTGGTTTCCTGAAATCCTAAGAGATGAAAAAGGATTTCAAATATATAGGGATGTTGAGAATTTATGTAGCTTAAGAAAATTTAGCTTCCACGAACATAAACTCAAATCTATTTCACCCGAAGCGTCTTTTTCTAATTTCCTCTTTAGTTGGAAGTTAGTTTGTTCTCACCCATAGTAGGCTGTTACTGATGGTATCCGACAAACGGACATTGAGTATCTTGTGTAGATAACTGTTCATAGATACTTGTCCTTTTTTGATAATGATTGCGGTAATTCTCCAAGTTTCAGCTCCGTACAGTACGCCTGTCTTGATGTTTGTAATGACAATTCTAACTTTGATGTTAGTTGACAGTTGTTCTGAGTTCCATATGTTATTCAACCGCAGGTATACTGCCCTTGCTTTGCCAATCCTCGTCTTTACGTCTGCATCAGATCCTCCATGTTCATCGATGTTGCCCAGATACGTGAAAGTTTCCGCTGATCATACTATTATTTTTAAAAACATAAAATATTGTAGACTGACTTTACTTGGTTTACCTATAAATAGTAATGCTCACACCTCTGATTCGATAGTATCATGGGATGTATTCGAAAAGGATGCCTGTAGGCAAAATGAAGGCTGTCCATGTGTTAAGTTATACAGCATCTGAAAGATATTTTGTCAACCATGATCTCACTTCATAAACTTGAGCTCTGGTCACACGAAGTATCTGCCGTAATTTGCAAGGTCACAAATACACTAGCATGGTATGCCCAACCACTTGGTCAGGTACAAAATACCGGTGACCAATTTCATTGCCATAAAATATGAGATAGCCATGAAAATGTTATGATAATGAATCCATAAGTGTGTTCATACTTTACTCGACGGGATGACAATGAACTAGTCAAACAAATGGAAGCTTCACCAGCAAACCACAGTTTAGTTGGCCTGACTAAATCTCAACTTACAAAGTCTGAACATTTATACTTTCCATTATGGTAGCCATTAGCTCATTGTGGTGGAGTAATATTACAAATCAGGTGAACAATAAAACATGGACCATAGAAGTTAAACTTAGCAGATTAAAATTATTGTATTTGTCGAGAGACATAAATATTCTGACTTTAACCCTACAAATAGCTTTTAGTGCGCGTTGCTGAAAAACTTTAAACATGTATAAAACAACTGTTTAATGTTTTCTATTTTTGGAATGACAGTCAAGCCAATATCCATTCATCATAAACGAAAACTCTACAAATTATCTAAATAATTCAAAAGTAATTTAACAATCGAATGTATTATACATTACTACAATGGATTTCTGTTCTAAATGCTACAATTGTAGTGTATTCATCAGTTCACCATTCCATTAATACTACTGTTCATAGAAAAGTAACTGATAAGTCTTGTCGATCGAACGCTATATTCGTTTTCTTAAGCTATTCTGGTAACCCCCAGTCTAGAACTACACAGCGACTTGAACACCAGAGAGAAGACACAAGTATGAGAGAAAATACTTTATCCTAAGGTTCATTTTTGTACAGAAAATCATAGGTATTTATAGATGTTGGCGTCTGTTAAATCAACATATTTTAGCCAATCCGTTAACGACATGTTATGCTACCGACCAATAGTAGCACGCCACGTTGGAATTCTAGAATGTTCCATCATACTCTGATTGGCTAGGACTCTTCGGCTCCTTTTGGGCCTCTGGAGGCTCCGTTGAAGTTTTCCGGAAGCCGACTCAACAGTAACTAACTTAAATAACTGATGGATTAAAATTGAATTCATTTACACATTTATCTACTAAAATTAATTTCTACTCAAAGTCATAGAAATAGAGAAGCACCCCAGTTACTACAACCAAAACAGTGTTTATTATTATTATTCTAATATATTCTGTTCATGAACGACAAGTCAGTTAGTATACACCAAGCCAGTTTATTCGAAATGAAGGATGAAAACCAAATGAGTGAATGTTTGAAATGGTTTTTGAACTATTAATTAATTATCAAATTGAACCAAGGATAAACATCTACACACACACATACACGCATGCACATACACACATATGAGATAAAAGAAAAATATGAAGAAAATGAAACAAACAAAAAACATTCTTCATTGATAACAACACACAGAAAAAGTAGTAGGTTACATTTGAAACAAACAAAAATCCAAATTTATTTATTGCACAATAGAATTAAACTTGTTCACAGAAATTGAAAGCATCAAATTAAGTGAATGACACACATTCCATGGCTGTTTTTCTTTGAATGTATACTGTAGACAGCAACCAAGATAATAACCCCAACCGAAATTATTTTCTCACAATAGAAAAGATTATATGAGATAAATATGATTTCTCATTTCAGAATAAACTCAACTAGGTAATAAGTGTCGATAAATACAATCATGTTTTATTGAAAAGTAGTTATTAGATCAGCTGATTGATGTTATATATATATGTATATATATATAGTAGGTAGCCATTATTGATTCAAATGACCACTTTTTACACATAAAAACAACAAAATTAAGCAAAGTAATTAAAAACTATGTGAAGAAATATAATAAAACATAAAGAAAATGAAATAAAAATAGGAATTTACATATGAAACCATATTCAATGTTCCTTTCATTATCTGTCAATCTTGTAAACCCCTGTTTATTGGTGTTTTCAAAGTTGGATTCACAGCCTACAAAATTAAATGTATATGAGAAGTAAAGGCTTGTCTATAAGCGTTTACTTTACATATATGCGTGTGTATGTACAACGAAATGGGAAAAACTGAAAAATTAGTGTTTTCCATTCAATGAAATAAGTACTAAGTGTGAGCTACAGGTGATCCTGTTAGATTAGCTGAAGTTGGACGTGTTGTATTACCGGTATTATTATTACTGATAGTTGAATTACTATTATTACTAGTGGTTGGAACAATTGAACGACGTGATTTTGATGTATCTTTAAGTGTTTTATAATTATTCCATCTTTCATTAATATGTTCAGTAAATGTTTTACCATTAGATAAGAGAAAATGTGATGAACTTTTCAATTCATATTGTTCAATAGCTGATATTGCCTCTTTTTCAGTACGTTCCACTTCTTTCAATAGACGTTTTTTCTCTTTTTCTGTTTTTAATAAAATACCACCACGATTAGAAAATATTGATGGATCTTTTAAACGAGCTTCAACATCAATTAATTGTTTCCAAGACGATTCATATACTGCAATACATTCATAGACAGGACGATATAAATAATAGGTCTGGTTTAATTGTTCTAATATAGTCTCTAAGTGATTAATTAATATTTCTGGATCTTGTTTATCACTGTCATTTGGTAGTTGAATAATTTTCTCATCTACACAACATAAACTAGCCAATCGTAGAGCTTCACTTTCAAGACGAGTTAAATATGTTTGCATATTTTCCCATTTCATTTGTTGACATCGATCAACTTCTTCCTTGAAATAAAAAAAACATGAAATAAAGAAGAGTTGAATAGTGTTTCTTTTTAAATAAAATACATTATATTCATAAATTTTACTGAAGGAAAGAAAAAAAACCATCCAAAATTCAGGGAAGGGTGTCATTATGATACTGTAAGATTGACTGTGAATGGATCAATAGAAATTTCTTGATACGAATGATCCAGATTTTCTTAATACGAACATGAAATAATGCAAACTCGATGATAGTCCAGTTATCGACACACAACAACACTTTAATGTTAATAATTTACACACCAATAAGAGGTAAAGAAGACTAGACTAACAAGATAGCTCTGTATTACAAATAGAAGTCAAATTTGGAGTCCAATAACTCTGTAAACATAGTAACAAAGTATAAACATGTTAAGAAAGAAATTTGATAAACTGAAAGTGATAACTAGTTTTCTAAAAACATTTTCTCCTATCCCATTGATTATATGAACTTTGAAGTTCTCTGAATAGCACATTGAATGTATTACGTATTCGACTATTGACAGAACAGAATACGGTTGATATAAACAAGTGTTAAATAATTATATGAATTTAGTAAAATTAACATTTTACACTGTACGATTCCGATGAATGGTAGAATAATAGATAAAGCCAACAAGTGTTTTAAATTATTATGTTGACACTCGGAAGAATGAACTTCTTCGAAAGTTTGTTCTTATCATCGGAGAACATCATTGGAGAAACATGTCACTGAGATAACCTTTTCATAACCATCATACAATATATGGAGATTAATCTTAATTGGAAGTTGAACTATTGGATCATCTATTATCTCATAGTGTATTGAATGAATACTCAGATGAGGAAAACCAATTAGTTTATTAATGCAAGTTTACAATGTCTTCGTAAAATACGGACAACATACATTGAATACATCACTTGCACATCTCCCATCAATTGTAACTTCATCGTTCCTTCATTCTTGCTTTTGTTACAATTACTCTTCGTTTACACTTCTGTTCTCGTCAATTTCATCTTCTCAACCTTCTGCTGCCAGGTGTTCCACTTCTGATTTGTGTTACATACTACTTATGTCCGTCGACATAAGTAGCATGCACCACAATAGTATAGGGTTCAGTATGAAATCTGAAAGATCTTAGTTTAATCTCTTATGTGTAGTGGTGAATCATAAACTGTTTAAAAATCCCAAGCTAAAATAAAACAGATATTTACTACTACTTCCAGTTTTCTATCACTGTCCATATGAGTTCAGTCCATATTGAAAATTCAGTGACCTTTACACAATACTATTCCATATCTAAATAGACTACATAGGATCACTTTCTATGGAGGATAAATTAAAACACAGCAATCTCAAATAGGTTATCTTTTTTAAAATAAATTTTATTCTTATAGCGCAATAATTAGAAAATCTTATTTGAAATATATCCTTCTTTATTGATGAATAACTTCGATGATCATCTGAATATACTATAGAATGCAACTGTGCCAGAGTATGTTGATCATTACTTTGGCCCTCTTTTTTAAGTAAAAAGCATACTTAACAATAAATAATTTGCGTGAGAAAACAGAAAACCTCATGAAATAAAATAAAAACATAATGAGACTACCTGAAGTGCTTCCAGTGTTTCAGGTTTATAACCAGAATGCATTTCCAGGAATTCTTTTTGTTCTGATTCCGGTTTATCTAATCGTTTCCACATTTGTAACAGGTAAGCTCTTAATTCTTCACAAGTACCAACTAAACGAGCTTTCTCTTTGACTAATCTTAATCGCCAATCAGTTAACCACTGACAAAGAGATGTAGAAGAAGAGAGATGAAAATAAAAAGAATACAGGGAGAAAAGCTTTTAAAAAATAATGTGAGATGTATTGTCAATATTAAAAACAACGACAATAGAATGGAATCGATGGTATTATTGAGTTCTAAAAAGAATTACGAGAAATATCATTTACGCCTATTGGTCCTCTAGCACATTCCATACCGGCGCCCAATCGGAAGACGAAGATAGCAAGAAGCTCAGTTCTCCATTGAACTCTATTTAATCACGACTTAAAACTTATATACCTGAAATGTGTGACCACGCAGAGATACAAATAAAGAATTAAAACGCGTACATAACTCAGTCATAAATGATAAAAAACTGTAGTATTAAGAAAATACTTAATTAATGGTAAATCTGGAGATATGTGAAAACGGTTTAGGGTTCAAACGAAATCTTACAAATACGATGTTCCAAAAATTAGCAATACAAGAATTCACTAATTATGCAATAAAAGTATAAATGGTAACCCTCCATATGTTAGTTACAAAAGTTATGTTTTCACATTACTCGCCGAATTACATCACCCTGTATCAATGAAATCTTGGCAGCACGCATGTTATAAGATCTGTTTTTAAGAATGTTCGCGTTAAACGAGCATAAACAGTTTAACCGAGAATAAATAAACACCGTTAAGATATGTCAATAATCACACTACTTATTGAGTCAACAATTTTTAACCAAATTCTCGTCGTAAAAGCCTTGTGAAAAATCACATACATACATGTGAATCAACATCAGTTTGGACATTAACCAAAGATGGTAATCACTGGGACAATGTGCAATCGCAACAAAGGTAACAATCGATCGTTGAAAATTAAAGACCGTTATATTATTCAATTGGTCTTGTAGACAGATTTATTTTGTCATTTGTGTTGTTAGTCATTAAGGTCATTTATGCGGTGTAAAAATTACAGTAACGGCAAACCCTTATTATTACCTTAAACATACTTTATTCATTAAGTTCTATGGATTTTTAAACAAAAATGTTAGTACATTAATAAACTAAAGTACAGTCTAACAGTTTGATTAGTTTTGTCATTAAGTCTGTATGATACTCGTGTTATATTACAGATCGATAGAACTGTATTTTTAGACGCCGATCTTGTGGTCCTGACGGTTAATAGTTCAATACACTTGAAGGTTTTGGATTCTATCCTTCATGGAGTAGAACAAAACAACTATCCAACAATTCATAATTTCTGGTGGTACAAAACTGAGATCAATTTGTGATGAATATGATCTTCTAATTTTGTCTGAATGCTGTAATTAGTCTGTATATGAAATAAAACTGAATGAATAATGATGGTTTCTTATATTTTTTTCTAAACTAAATTACAAAGCCAGATAATACTAAGCTTTATGATGAAAAATAGTATATGCCCACATAACACTTGTTTCAATCTAAGAATAACTGTAGTAAAAATAAATTCAATTTTTGCACCATATAAATTTCATTTGTAATAAAAGTGGATGAGGTATTTTATTGTGGTTAATTTACCTTACTTATAAGTAGTTACAAATCTATTCAGAAACATTTAAAATTGCATAGAAATTGACAACGTATGCAATTGAATTACCACCATAGAGAGAAGGATCTATAATATCGCAGCTTAAACTTACTATTTGTAACGCCTACATTGTAAAAACTTGCTGATTCTTATATTGATATAACAAGTAAATGTATTGTTGAGACAAATATGCGTAGGCTGATGTGCATTGAACAAACTAAAGTAGTGTCAGTTGTGGTGTGTGCAACTTATATTGACATAAGTAGTATACAATGTTAGTCGTGAACAGAAGGTCTGGCAGCAGAGAGACTAGAGGATCGAACAATAAAGAATGGAAACAGGATGCAATTTGTATGAAAATGCAAGAACAATAAAGTCTGAGTCATTTTGAGACAATTGATTGAAACATTTTGCAAATTAAGCATTTACTTTATGATTGTTAGATTTTATTAACAAGTCCTGTAATTTTGTGTTAAATACATTCGATTGTCTCCACTGGTGTTCTTGATTACTACAATAAAAAATCTCTATTACTTATCTGAACATATACATGGGGACTGCCCCCCCCCCAAAAAAAAGATATGTACTGTTGTTAATTTTAGGCTGACAGAATTTTCCATTCATCCTTAAAATACATGACGAAACAATTTATTGTACCATTGTTGTTCTGTTATATTTAGAAAGCGAACTCTAGATATTATGAATTAAATGTTAAAAGAATATGAATTGATTGAAACGAATCGAAATCATCATATCATAAAGGGAATAAGTTAGAATATGAAACTAAGTCATTACATCATAAAAAAATAATGTTATTGTCTGGTATAGCAGTAGACCAAAATATAAATTAGGGTCTGTCAAACCAAAATTTAACATCAGTTCATGAGCGCATTGAATGCTGAAATGATTCATGTAAGTAGGTAGGTGCAGGTTGTCTGGTTGGGAGTCGGTGTGATTATTTTAACCAATGGTTGGAAATATCAAATAATGTAATTCAGAATCGATCGTTATAGCATAAATGTATTCACTATTTGGATCGTCTTAGGTCTTGAGTATTGAAATCATTTCATACGTTTTTTTCTTTACTCTGTCTTTTTCACTACTACGACTATTATTACTGTCATTATTCAACTGAATGACAAAAGCAACTGGAGCTGTAATCTAGTTAAGATAATGATGACAGTAATGAAAAAATAGATATCAAGAAAAAAGAAAATACTTGTTTCACTAATTAACTGGAAAATAAGACCATGTGAAAATCGATTAACAACACTAACACACAAACATTACGTCAAATAATTTGAGTTGATACAATTATGTTAACATTTTTACGTGGTAATAAAACATTTATAGTTTATTTTTAAGTAGAAAGGTATATTTCAGAGACAAATTGTTGATTAATTTCAGTCAAAATATAAACAGATTTCACCCAACTGCTTCTTACATATAGTGATGACTTGACTGAGCTATGCTGGATGAAACATTCGCTCATTCAGATCCTACCATTATTTAAAGGTTGGTTGAAGAGCACTAGGGCTAAAAGCAGCAAACTAAAAGTCTGGGAGTAAGGTTTTACTCCTAACTGTACAGAGGTGTGACGATAGTAAGATGTTTCTCTTAGATAACTTGCATCTAGAGAGATGCTGCATTCTCAGAGAGTAAGGAAGAGCATTAGAACATGTCGATTGTAAGAGTAGTAAACTTCACCTTGACTCATATACTTCCGTTGTTGACAGTAATACCTGAAAAGTATGGAGCTTGCACATCACAAATACCATTTGCCATGAGTCGCAATCCGTTATCGCTTGGGCCCAGCAGTCAATCTCGCAGGTTAACAAGACTATTCCAAACCCCGTTTCCTTTTCATGTCCCTCAAGAAGAAGCATCTTTGCATGGTGATGAACCAGAAAATTATAATCATCATACCTCTAACAGTACTCAAGAAATACTTCAATATTGATAGTCCTAACTAATATGCTAGACTAGTCAATTTGTGAAGATTTGGACCAGTTGGTGTTAAACCATGATTTTTGATACTATCCTTGATATATCCTTTCTATTCAACAACTGTTTCTTTCTTATTTTTTATTTGTGTGTATTACTCTTTCATTCACTAACTAACTGTTTATCAGCTTTCAGTCAGATGGATTACAGCAAGAAAAACACTTATAGTCCAACTAATTCAGGCAATTATATTAATCTTTTTTTTACTGAGATCATGAACCGATTGATGTTAGACCACCATTGAAAACCTGGAAGCACTGGACGTCCGTTTCGCCCTATTGTGGAACTGACTCCTCAGCAATGCACATTCACGATCCCACTCACCGCCATTCGAACCCATACTGATATTTATATATCATTCATTATTACTAGAAATGTATGGATGATATTGCGATAGATTTACACTACATATTACCATGTGTATTATTATAAATAACTCGAATAGTACACAATTATTTAGAGAGAGAGAGAGAAAAAAAAACGTTTTATTTGAACAATATTAAAATCCATGTGAAAAGTATCTTGTAAATTTTTTAGGTTAATGATTTGAAAATAAAATGATTATCATAGATGATATTTATAAACAATGAGAATAACATGCCATATACATGAATAGGCTGAATTAAATGAAGTTTTACATGAAAAGAATAAATTTATAATCATGAGAGAAGTGACCAATTCTTTTGTTTTTCATAAATTATAAATAATGATTATTTCAAGTTATTGACCTTATGAACTAGTAAGATGTCTCGGCAGGATTGTAATAGTATTGACAAACTTACTTCTATACTGGACAAAAGAGTAGATTGCGATGTAGATATTAGCCAAATGTATGAAGAATAACATGATTTAATTAGTTTAATCAGTTGAAGTTCCAAAATCTTACTAACCAATATATCATGAATTGATTACAATTTCTTGATTAAATCATTCATCAGGTAATTAGGTATGAGCCACATTCTAAATTTGAAAGTTAATAACAGTACTCGGGTGCAGAGTATGAACTTGAGAATTGATAGTCAAAATGTGAACAGTTTAACATCAAGGCCACTGCTCTAATTTAACTTAACAGTACTGTTATATCCGAGCGAAGAATAAATCACGAGTAACTTCTGAGACATATTAATTGACTAATATTATCTAAACATTCTTATGGTGTAATTATTCAATAATTAGATTATGTATATTTATATTCCTCTTATTATAAGCTTCATTATGCGATTTACTGTCCCTAAATTATGCTCAGTTTATTAACTACTGCCTCCAACGTTCGCAGCCACTTTTTGACTTTATTGTGTACAAATCTTATTTCCTATTTTATGGTGCGTTGCAGTCTGTTTGGTTGATATGTCTGAAATATGTCTGAAATAAATGATTCGATTCGATTCACATAGTGGAAGCTGGTATTGGTGTTCTGGACTCAAGTGGACGGGCTAGGTGGACATAGGACCAATTAGGATGCTAGGCTGCTCATACCGGTCGAACGTCATTGTTTTGGCACAGTGCTAAGATTGTATAAGTTGCATTTTGATTGGTGGATAAATCATGTGATAAAAAGCCGGATATAAAGGCACAACAAGTACTCTACGTCCAGCATCAGAATCTTTCACTCAATAGAGTGAATATATAACTTGAAAATAAATTCTTTAAAAACTCTAACCAAATACATAATATTTACTTACTCTAAGTATCTCTTTATTTACAACAGGTTCATATGTATCATGATTATTATCTAAACCATTTGTAGTGACTTCTGAGTTTTCACTAGGTGTAGATATAGGCATAACACAACTTGTTCCATCATTAGCTCGTCTAACTACACCAGGAGTTGAAATTGAATTACCATTTTTGCATAAATGTTTTAATCCAACAATCGTTAAAATTTCAGCCTCTTTATCTGATTGTGGTTGATAGAAAATATCAGCTGCTACACGAGCAATATCTTCACGAAGTGCAGCGTGTTGATTAGCTAAAGGTGTATAAATTGATTGTAGTTCTTCATAAATTTTAGTAAGCTTTTCAATATTTATTTGATCTGGTAATGTTTGAATAGACGCTGAATAAGGTTAAATAAAAAAGGATATTATGAAACAGATATGTACACGTAATAGGAAGAGAAAACTTTTCGTAATAGTTATTGAATATCAGTCGGTTCATGTACATAGAAATGTGGTCAAAATTTGTACAGCCTAGTATTCTTGGTAAAATTAGCTTATTTACGTTGGGTGGTTGTAAAAAACTGTAGAACAACTAGAAGAAGTGTAGGATGTTAAACAAATATCATTGTAGAACATAAAAAATATATTGTAGATGTATCCACATTGTTGCAACTGATTTCGACCCAATAATATAAAAAGTACTTTACCATTGATTGCAGTTGTATTTCTGACATTGAACGAAATCCCTACAATTATATGAGAAGATTAAGTCGACAGTCTTGTTTTTGTTACGCATAGTCCCCAACCTATGCGGTATAATACACTGAGTTACGAAACAGCGGGATATGCGCAACATATCCAAACCGTTCTAGTTTATGAACACTCTTTACTTCTGTGGTTGAGAACAAACTATCTTCCAGCTGAAGAAGAAATTAGTAAAAAAACGCTGGAAGTTGATAGGACATACATTACAGAAACCATCCGACTGCATCACGAAGCAAACACTAACTTGGAATCATGAGGGAAACGAGGAAGAAGAAAACCAAAGAACATATTGTGTCGAGAATGGGAAGCAGACATCAAAAGGATGGATAGTAAGTGGGAACAACTGGAAAGGATTTTCCAGGACAGAGGGAGATGGAGAATGCCGGTTGGTGGTCTATTCTCCTCCACGAGGGGTAACAAGTGTAAGTTAATTCGAAATCCCAAGTAAACATATTAAAGGTCGAAGTTAAGAAGCTACTGGTTAAACAAAAGCCCCTTGAATAATATGATAAACATATATGACAAAATCAACCATTTTAAGATTTCCTAGTAATAATCAACAGTTTGCCGACCAAAATGAATGAATTTAAAATAAAAGATAACAATATTACTTTGGATATCATACCACTACGGATTCGAGATAAAATCGGTTGACCTTAATTAGATGAGCTGCACCAAACTATGGATTCTGATAAGCTATGTACGTAATGAATGGTCAATCCTTAAGGGTTAATATACAATGATTGCAGAACGCTCAATCAACTGATGTGATATCATGAAGTGGGACTTCGTAGTAGCATTAATTACATAATACAACATTCGCACTAGCCATCTGAACTTTAAATAACAAACTTTCACCAGTGAAATAAATCAAATTAAATGTGGATAGGTGTACATTTTAGATGAATATCTGGCTACAAAGAGCATTGATAGACATTTGAATTCAATCACATGCATTCAAGAATGCCAACAGTAATTCAGTGTTTAATGTGAAAATCATATTTGATACAGTTTCAGTGATTGAAGTTTAGATAATTTCAGTATTTCACTCGGCAAACTGAGTCTAAGATTCTTCAGTAATATAATAACTGAGGTTATTTCAAATATATATTACATTGTAATTAATTTCTTTATAATCGGCGTCCAAATTCTTTTAAATTATTCTCTTAAATTTTGACGAATATCAATGTTAGTCAGATGCAGTTGGCGATTCAAATCCCTTAGTGATAGAGGTAGTAAAAGTATGAGCAGTAATCGGAAAGATTGGGGTTTGAAGATGTTATTCAAGGAGTATAATCCAGTGAAATAAGTTTGGAAAGAGAAAAAGAAAAGGGACATAAAAAATACAGAAAACTAAAATTTGGAAGAACACAAATGGTAGATGCACCTGCACCATTGTAAATGCCTTTGAGCCATGTCATTCAAGGTCTCTAACTATCGGTTGCTATCATCTCGCGGATCCCAACCAGGTAGTTTACACCTAACAACATGGCTCAGTTAACTTGTCAGTGACTTCATGGATTTGTGCCATGTTTTGGTCTGGCCGCCCCCAGTTTTCTTCCAATCTACTCCTATACAACAAAACATCGCACATCGAAGCAGTCGGTGGTTGGGCATACGTAACACATGTCCCAGTCATCTCAACTGATGAAGTTTCACTACGTCATCAATTGATTTGCCATCCTAACCTAGTATCCGTTTTTTAAGAACTGCGTTACTTACTCGATTATCCCAGAATATACGAGCAATGTTTCGAAGACACCTATGATCGAATACTAGTAACCTACGAATATCCTCTACTCTTACTGGTCATGTTTCACAGCCATAAAGTAGGACGGAACGAACTGCTGCGCAGTAAACCCATCCTTTGGTTTATAGACGGTTATCTCGCCCACGCCATAAATGACGCAAGTTGGCAAAAGCTAGTCTGAAATGAATTTTTATTCTTTTTTTGTCTAACCAATTTCAATTCATGATGAAAGTTTAGTGAAAAGTAAATAGATGAACTTAGGAAACTACAAGATTTTATTTATCAAGCCTATCACTAACAATTGTAAACGTAAAAACAAACTAATGAGTGTTATATAATAAAGAGACAGACTATTTATTAATTCATTCTTTCATTTCAACAGGACACTACTATACATTTATTATTATTATTTCCAATACATTGATTAATTAAGTCATCCGTAAAAACAAAAGATGCACTGTATGTCCTAGATTCCATTTGTAGCCACGCTATAGGACTTTATTTAAATAGTAATCAATTCATGATTAAATTAATCACCTATGTTTGGTAAAAGAAGTAATAATATATCTTATGCTAAAATTTACAAATAAAGAACCTGATTATCATCATGTGGTCTGGAAAATTCAATTAGTAAGTGTCATGTTTTCTTATGGAAATAAAAACGACAATAAATACATGCATAAAAATCTGTCATCATTAATGATTGAAAAAATAATAATAAGAGAAAAATAGATTTTTGAAAAAAAATGCCATAGATACAGATCAATCGTAATTTAGAATTGATTCTAGTGTGATGAAACCATGGAAAACAAATAATTGAAAATAGAAGAAAAGTACATAACTGGAAGTTCAGAATGATATTTTTAAAAGACATGAAGTAATAAAACAGGTGCACCGTTGTACAATGATATTGTGATGTGTGCTACTTATATTGATATAAGTAGTATATATCGCGAGTTAAAACGTAATATCTGGCAGCAGAAGATGGGGTGAAGATCAAGAAAGGAAGAGCTAGAGCACAATGGAATTTGTAAGAAAACGCATGTACAATGAAATGGAAGACAATGGATTAGTGTTTGCAACGGAAACAGTCCAGTTTGATATGATGCATTGATATTTTGCAAATTGACGATTGACTTTATGGTATTCAGATTTTATTGTGATGGCCTGTAATTTTTGTGCTAAATATATTTGATTGTCCCCACTCGTGTTCTGTTCAGCACATTTTGGTGCATCGGCCGGGAGTCGAACCCGAACAGCCCGCGCGGCAAGCGAGTGGGGACAATCAAATATATTTAGCACAAAAATTACAGGCCATCACAATAAAATCTGAATACCATAAAGTCAATCGTCAATTTGCAAAATATCAATGCATCATATCAAACTGGACTGTTTCCGTTGCAAACACTAATCCATTGTCTTCCATTTCATTGTACATGCGTTTTCTTACAAATTCCATTGTGCTCTAGCTCTTCCTTTCTTGATCTTCACCCCATCTTCTGCTGCCAGATATTACGTTTTAACTCGCGATATATACTACTTATATCAATATAAGTAGCACACACCACAATATTACATAAACATATAGTATACAGACTAGACAATCAGAATGGAGAGCGTGAGTTTTGATTCTTTTTTGCGCGAAATTCAAATATCACGTCCAATAAACAGTAGAAATATCTTTGTATATTGCTCAAAACGTTTAGAATGATGACAAAAATATACTTTTTCTTGCCAGCATAGGGTTTAAAATAATATTGTTAAACGTGTTAAATTTTCAGTTCTTTTTCTGTAAATTGTTTTTCATAAGCAAATCAAATCTATCTCTGAAACCTAACTCGAAACATTTATTTACTAACACAAACCTTAACCTATTGGAGTTGTAATTTTATGTACGAACCAATCATATTTTATCTCTTGGATTTTTGAGTGAAATTCATTTATCCATATGCTTACACAGACTTTCTGCATAATATCTGTCAGTTCATGACAAAAATATTACCCTCAACCTCCATTCCTAACTCCAACTATGAAAAATGTAGAGACCCTTATTAATATATTTTGGTCCTTTTAAATGTTCGAAAAGACAAACAACCTATATCTATAAGAACGTTTTTATATCGTTGTTTTTCTCCGATTGGCAGGGAGAATCACCTGTGAAAGAGTTTACTAAATTGATTATGTAAAATCTGTTAACACTTCAATATATTTTTTTCATAAACTATTCATTTACAAAAGCCGTTTCTTTGATTGGCTAAGAACTGACTGAGAATTCTTGGCTGTTGTTTTACTGAGTATTTTTCTTTCGAAAATTGTTCACATGAAAACCAACATGACATTAAGATTTCCCAGTTAGCGGCCCATGTTCGAATGTTAATCATCGAATAACATTCATAATTTGACTACCAAAGTCCAAAATAAATCATTATTTCTACACTAAGAGAAAGATACGGCTTATATGTCATAGAATAGTGAAAAAGACTATAAGATTCAACTGTTTGGTAAAATGAGTGGTTTAAACTTGTGCAGAAAACAGTTCCAAAATAAGCTTATTAACTAGTTAATAGAAAGTATAAGATCGTGAAGATTATTGAATTTCATTGAAATCCTGAGCTGATCTAAGTTAGACTACCTTTTAAAATCTGAAAGTACTGGACAGCCGTCTCATGCTGGTATGAGGATCCTCTTCAGTTTATACCCACGATCCCGCAGGAGGTGTTCTGGTGAGAAGCCGTGACCAGTGGTGTTCAACCATATCGGGGTGTGAAGCAGTTGCCCACCGAAGACAATGGAAGAGGGTTGTGTTATAGTGGATTGATTGGAATTAGACCTTAACACTGTTGGATGCTAACTCAGTAGTCTAGAGGTTAAGCGTTCGCCAGTTAGATAGGTCTTGAGGTTCGATTACCACGTGCAGGGTCATGAGTATGGATTGCTGAGGAGTCTCACACTGGGACAAAATAACCGTTAGATGCTTCTAGGTTTTCGAGATAATTTTGTATTATCAAAAATTGCATAGAGGTAAATTAGTGGATAAACCGCTCAATTATCGATCACAGGCTACAATTTCGGACCTTTTAACATCAACTTTGGTTTAGATAGCCAGGTAGCACCTAATGTAAGCCTACATTAAATCTTGTAGCTGAGTCCGAAAAGATAGACCTACTTTTCAGGAGGACGGAGTTAATAAGTTAGGCAAATCCAAATATATCAGGTGCATATGTGCACAGGCTAGTCCAATGTTAAATGGTAGGTGAGATGTAGGTATACGCCAATTAGTTGTGTATATACTGATTTAGGTCTCGGTATTATATATTCTTGTTCATTCCAGACTTCACATTTTACATATTCGTTTAGTTACTGTGGGAAGTGCGCAACATAACTGTACAGCTGTTTTATTCTGTGGTCCAATTTAGTTATGATGTATACTTTATTAATGTTAAGTACATTAACTTTTACTCAGTAAATGAGTCACATGTTTATTACTATTATTATTACTATTCAAAATCATATCACATTACTTACTAACATTAATAATGTATTTGTGCTTAAACAACAACACAATAGAATATCATATTTATTAGGAAATAAAAACAGAACTGTCGTGTAACATATAGGAAATAATAATAATAACAACAGGTGAGCTGGTGGTAAACTTTGACTATTGAATATGGGTAGAACATGTCGACTGTGGAATTTTTTTTAAATATTTATTGAATAATCTCACAATTTGAATGTATTAGACAGATAGCTTTTTCAAGATGGCGTATTTGTTATTTAGATTTACTTACTGTACTCAAGTGTTTGGTATTCAATATTAATTATTATTATTATTAACTTGAAACATAAACTCTACCTAAGATATAAGTAACCATAATTAATGAGTGGTAATGGTGCATTAGTGGTTAAAGTACTCAGCTTTCAAGTAATGAGTAGCGAATTCAAATTTTATACTACCCACTTCGATTTACATAACCAGATAGTATCACTGACGCCCTACACAGATAGTGTGGTTTAAATTTAAACATATAAACCAGTACATGAGCAAATGATTGAGTTGGTCAATTACAAATACCATAAATTGTAAGTACTATAGCAGAATGAAACAAATGAACACAATTAGCTTAATACTCAATAGCATTTGATCCTTTGGCAAAAATAAAATAATGAAAAATAATGTAATTGTATTACAAGACTAAGAAGAAATACAATATGACATTCTTCAGCATAGTAAAGTGTTGATATTTCGTTTTTTTTTAAGTGGTAGACTGTTATACAAGACGGTGTGTTTCGCTCATATTCATATTTCAATATTCTAGTCTGTGGAGTGTTGGATAATACCATCATCTACTGATCAATTATACTTTATATCGAATCATCAGATAAATTAATTTAGAAGCTAATAGACAAGTGTTATGGTACCATTAGGCAGTACAATGTTTGTTTACCTTTACTCCTCAAAGAAGTATAAACTTTTAGTAATAATAATGTGAATCAAAACTATGAACTGACAAATACTCTGAAAAAGGATGCAAAAGAAACAACTTAGTCTATTTTTCGGATAAGACTAATATATCAGAAGGGGTTTTGTGGAGATTTTAGGGATTTCAATAGTTGAAATTATGAGTCAATTGAAGCTAGACCACCATGGAAACCTGGAAGCACTGGATGGTAGTTTCGTCTTAGCATGGGACTCCTCAGCAGTGCGCATCCACGATTCCGCCACGCGGGATTCGAACCCAGGATCTATCAGTCTCGCGTGCGAGCGCTTAACCTACTGAGGAGTCCCATACTAGGACGAAACGGCCGTCCAGTGCTTCCAGGTTTCCATGGTGGTCTAGCTTCAATTGACTCATAATTTCAACTATTGAAGACTAATATAGACGAATAATTCATAAGTTCATTCAAATTAAGTTGTTAAGTTGTTTGAATAGGTAAACAAACAAATAGAATGAATGATACACGTTCCATTAGTCAGTTTCTAACACTACATTCAATGGACGTTCATAATTTAGTTAATTGAATTGCATTGTGTATTATAATTCTGTGACTTAACTTGACGGATAATTTATTCAGAGTGTTCACGCTTAAGAAAAGCACTTGACATTCACGATTTAGGATCTCAGAATTTTATATTTTAGTAACACTCTTACAATTAATTTTGATAACCGTTAATCCCTGTCAGATCCTTTCATCTGAGATACAATGTTATCGATATAGTAACGATTCGTTTGTTTCTTTGTATTAGTAGAATCGCTATCGTACCTACGTAAACATGTATATTTTAATGTTTTTACGACCTACGCATATTTCTGTCTAACTCAAATATTGATTGCTTAAATACAGCTCAATGTCTTATTATCTATCCCTCATATATATGTCCTTGTATTATAAAAACAAACTGTAATTCGATTCGCCTTGCCTTTATTTGGTATGACAATAAATTTTCCTTTATATTCGCCTGCAATGATTCTTTAGTCTTTTCGCTTCAAATCCGTCTGTGTTTGTAATCTTGTGGTCCGCGCGATCAGCTAATAAAATGTAGTTGCAACTATTAATCGCCTTCTGAATTCAATCCTGTGGGGTCCCCCGTACTAACGGTCATCATGGTTAACGTTTAACGAAGCTACGCACACTACAAAAAGTTCATAATGCCTACTATCCAACTGGACAGAAACTTTATAAATTAAGAGGTTGTATACACAGCAGCGTGACTTCAAAAGACCCAGATTCAATCTTTCATGAGATTGATGATATACAGTGCTGACAAGCCCTAGACTGTAACTACACGCCTGCTCAATGTTTTTTTTTATTTTCTGAAATTTCCAGATGAAATCAATATTCAAAGAACAATTTTCCTAAATTTAGTTATTATTCTAAAAGTGTTCACGATTAAATCACTAATAAGTATAAGGAGAAAAAGAAATCAAAAATACACTTACAAATTAGCGAAGGATCTAAACTTTCATATTCATTTGAATGACCATTTTTATCCGTGTTATTTTGATCAATACAATTCGATTGTCCAAAAAATTTTATAATCGGTGGGAAGGTAGTGTGAAAATCTATATCAAGCTTATGTTTTGTAATATCCGATATTTGGTCACCACCCAATAAATTATCTAAATGTAATATCTTCGATCGTAACCAACAATAACGTTCACATCGGGCACTTTTTTGCTGAATTAATTCTTCCGCTTTTTCATCCAATGACTAACAATGACAGACAAGATAGAGTGGGGGATAAATTTTATGGAAAGAACTATTTTCTAATGAATTACATTCTTGTTGAGACTTTCAAATTAAATTGAATAGACACGTTATAACGGAGGGAGGAATACGACATGAGAAGACATCGATTTTGTATACATTCGTATAATTGACTAGAGGGAATATCTATTGTTGAGAATACAATCGAAGAATCTCAAAAAGAAGGGGTTGGATAGTCAAAATTCATTTGGTTGAGAGAGAGAGAGAAAAAAAGAGGACAAACCTTAAAGGTGACAAGTGAAAAAAAAGTAGGACTGGGCATGGTAACGTGCCGATTCAAATGGCCCAACTCAAAATATCGTCGTATCTTTAAAAAAAACAGATTCTTGATTTGTACAAACTTGTGATCGGGCTATTTATTACGGTAGCAGTTATACTATCTAGCCCGATTACTGGCTTATTCACCTAAATTGTCAATAAAAGTAGTAACTTCTGAAGGAACGAATCACTAACAATGAATAATAACTAGAGAATCTAAAAACTAATTGGCCTCTTCCAATCACAAGATTTAGATAACAAGTAGATCAATTCTCCATTGTACTCTGTTCACGCATGAATGAAAAGCCACACAATAATATATCTTAGTAAGTGACCGCGTAGTAACACAATTAGGAAATTGCAATGTATACACAGCTCAGTCATAAGCGATGCATAAACGAAATAATTAGCGATAAATCTGCGACAGTAAGACATACAACAACGACTGATAGGTCAATCAAAAAACTGACAGATAAGAGAAGACAAAAATACAATATTTCAACCATATAAAAATATACACCATAATTCTCGGTACACTAACTTTCGTGAGCTCAATTTTCCATAAATCCTCTTTCCATATAGCAAAAATACAGTGAGAAGAAATAAAAATACTCGTCAAAAAGAACAGATAAAAGGAGACGAAAAAATGAAAACAGGATAAAAGGAAAGAAATTAAAATCAATAAGGAATTCATTTAACTTAAAGTACAATAAATATTAAACATAACAACATTCACCTAGGTTATTTTTGAATAATATCAACCAGTAAATATAGATCTTGATCAATAACTTTTTTTGTTCAATATATAAATCAAATGAGCCGCCAAAATGTCTTAACGTGAAGTTTCGTCAACTCTATCTTATTTCCAGCTCATTTAATGATTTGAACTTAGCAATAGATATGTATATTACATATGATAACACTTTTAAACCATTAGTTACTGCAAGTGATCAAACTTATTAGGTTGAAAAGAAAAACAAAGGATTTTAATAATGTTTAATGACTAAAACAATATTTAAGCAGAGATGAACGGTGGCTAGCAGTAAAAGACGAGCGTTTCAGCTGGATATTCACTCTGGAACTCCAGTCCAGTATTAATTCCTGTCGTAAACATCAATGGAGAGATTCAAACAATCAGTATTTATGTGAATTAGAATTAAAACAATATTTATTTCAAGCAATATCAATAATGTTTTTGTAAGCAATGATGGATAGTGACTAGCAGTGGAATCCAGGACGCGCGTTTTCTCCTATTTTGGATTCGTCAGCTAGATGTACTGGCATTTCAGAGTTGATATTCACTCTGGGACTCGAACCCAGTACCATTCGCTTCAAACGCCATCGCGTTATCCACTCAGCTACTGAATCCTGATAGCCACTTGCTTGTGCAATGGAGTGAATTTAGATTCATTTGGTATTGTTTGGCTTGTATCTTCCCAATAAGGTTTAAGACTGCAATTGATCAGTTTGTTATTGGCATATGTGAAATGTAGAAATCACTTTAAGTATACAGTTACTTTAGGTGTCAATGTTACCAGTTTTATATCTAGAATTTTTTATTGAATGATCCTAATATTGTTTCCCATTAGATGTTGAATGTAATTTAAGCTATTTATAAATTAAAAATACTGAAATATTTAGGATAAATCATGTTGTAAAAAAATATAAAGAAAATTATGAAGATAATAAACCAATAGTATTAGACATGACAACTGTACAATGTAATCTTTAATTGATTTGTTAAAAGTTCTAATAAGAGATCAGAAAACTTTCAACTGAAATTCTGATACGAAATTATTGTACACACACACATACACACACAATTAGGACATTTTATAATAGATAAAATGAACAATGTAGGCTGGTAAATATTTTCATTGATTCTTGAATTTTGAGATTATTATGCGGAAAATTTCTTAACATTTAATAATACTTTGAACAGTTGTCGAATGGATAAATTTAAGTGATCTCAGAATTAAAAATGTTGCAGTCTTTTTAGTTTTAAGCAGTGGATGTTTTACGGATGTACTTTCATACATGATGTTTCCTAGATGTTAACCTTAACTCACTCATTTACCAGGTATGCAGGTACATATCTTCAAATCACAGCCTAAATGTTAAGGGGCTAGTGAAACTAAATAGTCATCCAAACTGAAGTAAGTGGGGTGGAATGTGAACCTACAGCTTTGAATCAAAGTCGAACGCCCTATCTACTGAACCATTGCACTACTAATTGACTTCTACGTATTCAGCGTTCAATCTTCGTGAAACTACTTGTTCAAATATAAATTAATTAAAAGATAGTTTGATTAGTGAACTGATATCAATCATACAGACAACAAGATCATGGTAACAGCCATTTTCAAATTATATATATATATATATATATATATATATATATATTGCTGTTAAGTCACCTGTGTAAACACTTGATTACTGTTTATATTTATTCACTGATATTTTAAAGTTAAATAACTTTTAATATACTTTTGCAAGTTGATGTGAGTGATTTGAATTTATACATTACATAAAATGTTTCAATAAATAGAAAACATATCTGGACGTATTAACTTCTGTCTAGGACACGGAATAAAGTGTTCTACTAATATATCAATAAGTTGTTGCCGAACGACAATTCTTATGACTTTATGTCCGGCTTTTATCACGTGATCTACCCACCAATCAAAATACGACTTATACAATCTTAGCACTGTGCCAAAACAATGACGTTCGACCGGTATGAGCAGCCTAGCATCCTAATTGGTCCTATGTCCACCTAGCCCGTCCACTTGAGTCCAGAATACCAATACCAGCTTCCACTATGTGAATCGAATCGAATCATTTATTTCAGACATATTTCAGACATATCAACCAAACAGACTGCAACGCACCATAAAATAGGAAATAAGATTTGTACACAATAAAGTCAAAAAGTGGCTGCGAACGTTGGAGGCAGTAGTCACTAAACTGAACATAACTTAAGAACAGTAAATAGTACAACAATAAATTATAAGTCAAAATGAAGCTTATAATAAGAGGAATATAAATATACATAATCTAATTGTTTAATAATTATACAATAAGAATATTTATAGAATATTAGTCCATTGATAGTCCTCGAAAGTTAAAATTCTCATTTCAGCATTTTTTTTTCGATAGAAGAGAAATCATCCACAAATCAAGGATGAAATACAGGAGATTTGTACACAAGAGAACGGTGTACAAATATATCACTAGGAATATCAACACTTCTTTCTTAATCAGATTTATGCAACAAAAACAACTAAATAAACACTATAAATATATAATTGACCTTTAACTTATGATAAATACTATCGATTTAGACAATGTCACATACAAAGCCATTATGTTGTCCGAATAAACAAATGAATAAATATAGTCGATTTCTAACGATGAAAAGTTGTTAAAACAGAATCACCAGTGAGAATCAATCGATGAAGATAATTGATGAGGACTACTGTTGATATTCAACCATATATATGTATATAATATAAGTGGCTTATTAAGAAAACAAACAGGCTGAAATACTGCAAAATGCAAACATACAATAAAAAATAAAATTACATCTAAACACATACAAAAAGTAGGGGTTTAATCAAACCCAATTTAAACAACATTAATTTATAATGATTGATAATGAGTATTGTCTCATGAATTCAATTATTGAATATTAAGGTTATGATTAGATTATGTGTTGATATCTTGTCACCGATTCTTACAAGAGAATAAGTTATCTAATTCAGTGATTTTGTAGAGAAGTTGTGTAATTTCAGAGGTTATTCCTATCATGAATGGATATCACTCGGAGGAACACTGAAAACAGTTGAGCACTCAAGACCTACCTATATAGTCGCATACGTTTTAAAGTCCTATGCAATGTACGCATTGATCCGTTCATCAATTACTCCACATACATCTGTTACCCCTCGTGGAATATCAGATGCCCACCAGGATTCTCTAACCAACTCTGTCCTGGGCTCTCCTTTTCAGTTTTTCCCAAGAGCTGTTCATTGTTTTGATGTCTGCTTCCGTTTCCTAGAGCACTGTGTCCTTTGCTCTGTATTTTACTTTTATTTTGAAAATACCAGGTTAGGGCTAGCTTCGTGCAGCAATCTGCTGATTTTCGCAATCTATGTCCTATCCACCTCCAGCATCTTTTCCTGATTTCCTCTTCAATTGGAAGCTGGTTCGTTCTCTCCCGTAGTAGGTTATTGCTGATAGGATCCAGACAACGGATCTCTCACAGAAATTTGATTATAAATACCTGTACCTCCACCTGGAGTTCTGATGTTACTGCTGATTCCAAGACCGGATAAAGGGGAGTTGAGCAAGTCAATCCCACAAAAAGGAACCTTCCCAAAAAACGCTCTTCAGTCCATAGGAGATAGTAAATCAAAATTTTTCTCAAGTTCACTGGGCAAACACGGGATCATTAAGTCGATATTTGATGATTTAATTTAATATATGGTGATATAGAACGATTCTAATTCACTATTATCGATTAGTTACTACCTTACTTATTTTAACATGTATATCGACCTAAAATACAACCATTTGTCAGCTAGACATATACCTACACTTCATAGAATGATAAGTGTTATTAAAATGCAAACCTAGTAAGCATGTTTTTAAAACACAAAGTGTTTCTTACTAGGTTTTCAAGAAAACTATTTGTTTTTCTTGTTAAGGAAATGCAAACGACAAGTATTTCATCAAGGCAGTTATTGTCCTCTTCATGTACCTTCTGGTATTATTATTTATATGTAATCTAGTGTATAGAATTCGGGATATCTTTTTAACAAAATTATTTTCAGCTATTCTAAAAATTATCATCACACAGTGTTTGTTCAATTTACTTAAAATCTATTTTAGCCATAGAAGGATGGAATCCAGCTTCTTGCTGAAGTTCAAATCGATTATTCAATCAAACTGTAAGAAAAGTCTCTCATATTAGTAAAGAAATTTGGGAACAAGATAATACAGAATGAAAGAAAAGATCAACATACGTACTCTCATTAATTCACTGGAAGTAAGTCCACGTTCAGGTAGGAATGGTGCCAAACCTAATTGTTGACACATATCAGCGATTTCTCTACGTCTTAATTCAATTTTTTGTTCCATCATAAGACGTGCAGAATTCTCTTCTTTAATTACTTCGCATAGAACAGTTTCAAGTTTTTGAACAAAATGTTTTAGACGTTGTGAACGTTCCAACTTATTATAACCTGGATGATGAATTTTTTAAATTAATAATAATAGCAACAACTAATACTAAAAAACACTATTACAAGATATATATATATATATATATTCACAAGATAAAATAGAACTATAATCCAAAAGAGTCCTGATACAAGCTTGCGGCAAGTTAACCATTGGATATAAGATACCTTTATGCTCTGGAATATTGTAAATCAATAGGATCATCCCCTCATCATGCATAAGTTTATGTGCTTAAATTTGAGTCAAATTGTTTGTATATAAAAGGTTGTGATACCAACTAGCTGGCTAACATGAATTGTTTGGAAACAGGGCTTCAAATTCTAACAATCGGTTAAATATCGAGCGATTGAATTATCAAATAGATTACACAAATGTGTTTTGGTGATATATATATATATATATATATACCTCAAGTTCATACGAACTACTTATGAAAAATATCAGTGAGTATTTGATTAAGATCTTGTGTGATGTATGAAGGAGTGTAAAACTTTCAACACATATAATATTGCAGGTGTTCTCTTACCTAAAGTACACTAAATAGCATAAAACTTAAGTCTAAACATTCATAACAAGTCACTGAATAACATCTTGAATCCCAATAAAGAAGTTTTCAATGTCATGTCATTTGGTTGAATGGCCACAATACATTTATTGGTTGATAGGATGTGAGAATGAGATTGATTAAAATTTATCTACTAATACTTCAAAAATATACCAATGATTGAAAAACCTACTTACTTGGGATTGATTTTCAAGAAATAACAGTAATCCATACATATATACTTCAATATAGAATAATGTACTGAAAATGGTAAGATTATGTGAAGTGAACACTACTGTGGTGGGTGCTACTTATGAGGACAGATATTAGTAGTATGTAGAAGGAATCGGAAGTGTAATACTTACTAGCAGAAGACTGAATTAAGGAAAACAGAGAGTAATCGGAATAACAACAGAATTGGAAGAATGATCAATTATTTAAAAGACAACTCAAGGAAGATGTGCAAATGATGTATTTAATGTATGATTTTCATATTTTACAAAACAACTGCAGATATTGGCACTTTCGTACTATTGAAGCGAGAGCTCCATTACAGTTGTACATCTCACGACAAATAGTCACTACCCTGTTATTGACTCAATAACTTAACCCACAATTATATAGTTGTCTTGCATACATCCTATTTCTCTACAGATTTCATACTCAAAAGCATTTGTCCTTACATTGAGTTTAATCTTTACTTTTCTCAGGGAGAAATGAGAATTCCAACCAACACACACAGTCTTATCGACGCGCAGAAATATTAAAGCAAAAAATGGGGAAAAAACTCATTTAACATAACGTTTTTATATATGAATGGAGTTACTTCTTTAAAACACACGTATTTCAAAGGAAGTAAAGAATTCTTGTTATATAACATTTGATAAGAAAAGCAAAGCAAAAATGAATTCCAGGAAATTACAAAGACAACAACATATCTCACCCACATAATCCCATATTCGTAATAATTCATTTAAACTAGGTCGAATTGATTGAATTAATTCGTTTTCCAATCCTTCTGTTTCCATTAGTATTTACTGCTTGAAATTCAATTATAGGAAAAAAAATGAAAAAGTTAGAATAAATGAAAAGGGTGTCTGATTAGAAAAAAAATAGTAATTATAATAACTAAAGTCAACGTACAAATAAACTTGAACAACCAATCATTACTCTCGAATAACACATAGAGGATAAACTATAACCTTAGGATGGTAAAGGTATGTGACAGATAAATACAGCACTTTAGAAAACGATTATTAAATATCCGGTAAAACATGTTACTAAACTACCCAATTATATTGAGATAAGAAAGAGAGTGTAGATGTTAGGGTTAAAGAGAATTTTAGCTGTACTTTAATGACTTGAGAATATGTAAAATATTCAACGCTGATTATTACAGAATAGATATTTATTGTAACAAAATAATAAATGGAAAAGTTATCAGGACAATTCACGAATATGTAGTTATTTTTCTCCCTGGATCAAGAATTCCGGGGTAATATTCTTACTAGATAAAGGTTTCTGCATTCGTTAACTTCATTCAAATTTTTACGGATTGTTTATTTGGTATTTTAATAGTTGAATTCATAAGTCGATGTAAGCTAGACTATCATCGAAAACCTGGAAACACTGGACGGCCGTTTGCTTCTAGTATGGAACTCTTCAGCAGTGCGCATCCATTATCCCACATGCGGGACTCGAAACCAGGACCTTTGGTATCGTACGCGAACGCTTAACCTCTAGACCACTGAGGAGGCATCCAACAGTGTTAATGTCTAAATTCAATCAACCCATGATCTTGAGCAACCCTTCATTTGGTACTTTCATGTTTTTTCAATTTTATAGTATAATAACACCAAATTTATGATTTGGAAAAGATGTTGTTTTTCAAAATGGAACTGATATTGAAAATGAGAAAATGAACTTTGTAGTCAGATAAATTAGTCTATAAGTTGATGAAAAATTTACACAACGAACCTTGTCTTACGGTCTCTTATATTTTAAATACCTTCTATATATGTCTGTTCTGTTCAGTTTCAATATAAAAGCTAGTGCATATTACTTTGCTGCATAAGAATAAAACATTTTCCTAGCCACTTGTTGATCTATGTTCTTATATTTATTCAGGCTTGGTCCCTCTGACATTACTTGTTTACTTTTTGTAAGTCACTATTATCCAGTTAAATTTCATTATTAGTTGAAACAATCAACTGTTAATTTATAAAATGTATTGTTTTTTTGTCTATTGTAGTAGAAACAAAATGGTAGAACAAGAGCTCAATTGTTCAATTTCTTAACTTAAAATCATCGAATCATAGATTTGAACTTTGTTAAGCCAAATGGCAAATGGTCGAAATCTCTAGTTCTTTTCAACTAGGATATATTAGGTCTGATATATTAGTTTTTACTAAATTAGTTAGTTATATTATATAAATGACGAAGTTATTATGAATCATGTACGTATGTCACTGTAACCCAGTGGATTCAGTACAAATAATGCATCACTGTTTGTGATTAAACAAAACGTTTTCTCTATTGATCAAATAATAAATTCTACTTAAATGTTTACTTAGAGGTTTCATCAAATTGGAGATTGTTATTTTAGGATTGTTTATTTACAGAAATGTTTATACAGCCGTTCAAAGTCTATTTGATGGATCCAAGTCGATAAAATGGAAAGAAACACTGGCTACTTAACATTTGGATACAAAAAAAAAACAAATACGTAGATAGTATGTTATTTCGCGAACAATTTTTATGCAGTTGAAAAGCCGTAATGTTGCATAGAGCACTAGACAACAGTTTACTCCTAATTACAAGCTCTACAATAGTGCTTACTGCCAACGCAGGAACCCAGGAACTTTAAGTTCTGAGATGATTTATTCATCGAATTCATTTAATATGAAATATTTTATGGAACAAAATCATTAGGTATCACAGTTCGTAAACTTCTTCTTCTTAAGTTTCTATGGAATGAATCATAAAGTAAGAAACTAATGATGACTGTATAAGGCTTATGAGGTTTCGTTTAATAAAAGGATTATTTGAAATTGAAATGATATCAGAAGGAAACTCGAATATAAGAAAGTAGAGTAGATATTGTAACATGAACATTATTGTATTCTCAATAATTCATGCAGACGCCTTGAATATATTTTAAACAAACTAAAAAGAAAGGATGAAGTATTGCATTTTGCGATAGTTAATTTTTAGCATATATATATGATGAGTTGAAATGTTTATCTTTTTCAGTAATGAGTGTTGAACTCGAGTCACAGTAGAAACATATACACTAGAATACCATGATAGACACCTGGTGTGTCCTAAACAAACCGTGATGTGAATCTTGGCAAATGTAGGGTTCAGTAAGGTCGTAAATGTGAGCAGCATAAAGACATCTATTCAAAAGCCCACTATACCGATGGAAATAGAATAATTCAATTCTGAAAGTGACATGGAAACAGAAAGATCTGAAGTCTTTTTCGGGTTTGTAATGAGTAACTTTCCGATGTTTGAAAGTACATTATTCAATTAGCACTATTTTCCGCAAGCATTTCAATGTTAAACATACGTCGTTACTATCATTAGTATGTTAATTAAGCATATGTATTTTACATTAGTAAAGTGTACGGTAATAAAAAAAGAGTTTAATCTATAGATTAAAAACACATATACATTTATGTCCACATTCTAGCATGGTTATGTGCATGCCCAAGATAGTTTGATCCAGCCTCCAATCACATAAATTGAAGTACCCTTTTTATGTTTTTCGTGATATATATATGTCTGCCTATCCTACTTTTCTTCCTTATAGCATCGATCGTAAAATGAGAGTTTTGATCAGTTCACAAAAATCCTAATTATATGGTACATTTTTATCTCAGCTGATGCTGCTAACAGAAATACGAGTTAGGTCCGAAAAATCTTGTGAACACTGAAGTATGGATGAATTATTTGACGCAACTATTTAATATGTATATACGCAGTAATATTAGTAATAGGCAAACACTTTATTTTACCCTGCCCTGTTGCAGGACTATACAATAACACAAATTCATGATGCTAATTAAGAATAATTTTGTACAATATGTATATTGAAAAGTATATTAAAGATTCATATTGATTTTTAATGCAGTTTTTATCAAATCAGATAGACAGATGAATGCTCTATGATGACAGTAATGTACATCATACTAGCAGGTTATTTGTGCTATATTTGGTAAAGAAATGTTAATTCATGAAATGAAATATATGTATTGTAAAGATAAGATACACATTGCGATATTCACTATTAAAATATTTTAGACTCAACTCTGAAACGAGACAAAAGTATTTGGTTTTAAGAAGCTTGGTGGTGAGAGTGTAAAGATGTTTAATGAATTTAAACTACTGATTAGTTCATCAGCAGTAACACAGGACTAGTTATAGTGTAACGAAATTAAACAAATTTCACTGTTCTCTAAAGTTACTCCAATAACTTGAAAGGTAATTAAGGCTACTGAGTATTCTGTATAAACCAAATAGACGTTTGGGAATGCTTCGTTTAATATACTAAGTAATCTGTAGCCAATATTAAATAAGACTTTCCACTAGTCGACAGACGACTACATGCTTTACACTACTTAACACACTTTTGGACATTACAGAATTACATGTGTGTCGAACTACGAACACCTAAATAAACAAACTTAAAATGGATTAAAAACCACTATTAGAAAACACTAATTAGGCTCACTTAGAAGATAGTATTTTCCGTAAATATCGTCATTTCATTCTATTTGTGTGTGGGCTGTGATACTGCCCGGGTGCCCAGACCGAAGCAGGTGGTTTTCTTAGGGGGTCACACCCCGAGCCTTTGACCTAGAGGTCTGAACCACAAGGCAATGAGTAGGACTTGCCTGTCATAGGCTGTATACGCGTGGCCGTGTGAGAGCATTTCGAGAAGGAAGGCGGTCACTCTCCAATCTCGGCCATACTAGGGCATGTGGGGGCCGCAAGTTTGGTGTGATCGAAACAATCTGTAAAAATGACGGGATGCCAATCACTAACATCCATCGACGTCTTGGACGATGGGCAGAATTCTTTGAAGGACAGTTCAACTGGCCGGTCAGACTGTACTGCCCTCCATGGCCGGTGACGACTGATCCACCAAATGAGGCGGAAGTCCGCAAGGAACTCCAACTCTTGAAGCGTTACAAATCACTGGGCCCAGATGACTTACCTCCGACTCTTTTTAAAGTTGATGGTGGCTTTCTGGTTAAGGAACTGACAACCTTGTTTACAAAGGTCTGGGAGCTAGAGAGTGTACCAACGTCAGGGAATCAGTCGATAGTTGTCCCTATCTTTAAAAAGGGTTCACGTCGTTCCTGTAACAACTATCGGGGGATAAGTCTACTTCCGATTGCGTCCAAGCTATTGGCTTCCGTCATACTTCGTAGGTTGTTCAAAACCCGAGAAAGATTGACTCGCGAGGAGCAGGCTGGGTTTCGTTCTGGTCGAGGATGTATTGATCATATCTTCACCCTTCGCCAAATGTTAGAACACCGACATACTTATCAAAGGCCAACAATCGTAGTGTTTCTTGACATCAGGGCTGCCTTCGATTCGTTGGACAGGACTGTTCTCTCAGATTGTCTATTGAAGAAGGGTGTGCCTGGGAAGTTTATTAACATCCTAACAGCCCTATATACAAGCACCTCAGGAAGAGTGAGGGCATACAACCACCTCTCTCCATTGTTACATCCAAGCAGTGGGGTTGGACAGGGTTGCCCAATCTCACCATTCCCCTTCAACTTTGCCATCGATGACATTCTGGAGACACCTCTGATGGATGTAAGTAATGGTGGTGTGGATCTGTTGCCTGGAGAAAGACTTATCGACCTTGAGTATGCGGACGATATTGTCTTACTGTGCGATAATGCCCAAGCCATGCAATCCGCACTTAATCAGTTGGCAGTCAGTGTCCACAGGTATGGTATGTGCCTTGCACCTTCGAAGTGCAAAGTACTCCTACAAGACTGGCAGGATT